GTCCCTGTCCTCGGAGTGTTTGATGGGGACAGTGTAGAGGGAGCTTTACTCTGTATCTAACCCTGTGCAGTCCCTGTCCTCGGAGTGTTTGATGGGGACAGTGTGGAAGAAGTTTTACTTTGTATCTAACCCCTTGCTGTAAATGGTTGGTTTAGAATTGGGAACCAAGTGTAGAATGTCAAAGTTCACAGATGACACTAAGATAAATGGTACAGCAAATTGTGCAGAGGGCACTGAAAGTCTGCAAAAGGATAGATAGGTTAAGTGAGTGGGCAAGGGTCTGGCAGATGGAGTACAATGTTGGTAAATGTGAGGTCATCCATTTTGGTAGGAATAACAGCAAAATGGACTATTATGTAAATGGTGAAAAACTGCAGCATGCTGCCATGCAGAGGGACCCAGGTGTCCTTGTGCATGAATCACGAAAAGTTGGTTTGCAGATGCAGCAGGTTATGAAGAAGGCAAATGGAATAATATCCTTCACTGATGGAGGGACGGACTTTAAAAATTAGAAGGTTATGCTGCAGCTGTGTAGGGTCTGATGAGGCCATACCAGGAGTACTGTGTACTGTTTTTGTCTCCTTACTTGCGAAAGGATGCACTGGTACTGGAAGGAGAGCAGAGAAAGTTCAATAGGTTATTCCGAAATTGAGAGGGTTGGCTTATGAGGACAGATTGAGTAGACTGGGACTTTACTCATTGGAATTTAGAAGAATGAGGAGCGGGGATCTTGTAGAAACATATAAAATTCTGAAGGGAAGAGATAAGATAGAAGCAAGGAGGTTGTTTCCACTGGTGCGTGAAGCTAGAACTAGGAGGCATAGCCTCAAAATAATGGGGAGCAGATTTAGGACTGAGTTGAGGAGGAACTTCTTCACCTAAAGGCGTGTGAATCTCTGGAATTCCCTGCCCAGGGAAGCAGTTGAGGCTACCTTGTTTAATATTCTTAAGGGAAAGATAGATAGATTTTTGAACAGTAGAGGAATTAAGGGTCATGGTGAGCAGCTGGGTAAGTGGAACTCAGTCCACAAAAAGATCACCCATGATCTTATTGAATGGTGGAGTAGGCTCAATGGGCCAAATTGGCTACTCCTGCTCCTATTTGTTATGTTCTTATGCCCCTGTCATGGGAGTGTTTGATGGGGTCAATGTGGAGGAACTGTACTCTAAATGCCCTGGAATATTTCGGTATTATGTAGTGGTTGTGGAGTATGTTTCTTTCAGGATTACATCTGATCTTAACAAATGCATAAGGAAAAATTTTGAAGAATGCTTTATTCATGTGAATATTGCAGTTTACTGTAATTCTGTTGTTCCCAGCTTTGAGGAAGGGTCTCTCGACCTGAAATGTTAATGCTGATTTCTCTCGACAAGATCTGCCAGGCCTGCTGAGTTTTTCAAGCAATTTCTGTTTTTGTTTCAGATTTGCAGCATCTTCAGTTCTTTTGGTTTTTATTCTGTTGCAGGCTCTTCAACAAGAACCAAAGAACAGGAACTGTCTGGTTGCCCGGTCCCGATGCTACCTGGCAATGGGAAACACCACTCTTGCTTTGAAGGATGCAGAGGCCTCCCAGTTGGGCAATAAAGAGTTCTATAAGGTGATCTTGATATAACAATTATTTAGTGGATTCCTTCCCTTTGATGTTTCTCCTCTTTTGGCAGTGAACCAATTTTTTTTGTCTTTATAGAATCTTAGAATCACAGAGTAGCATGAGAGGAGGCTATTTGGCCCACCATATCTATGCCAGCTCTCTGCAAGAGTAATTAAGATAGTCCACCCACCCACCACTTTCCTGCAGCCCGCCCCACCACATTTCCCATGGTCCTGCAATTTTTTTTTTTGTCTTCGAGAATGATTCGATGGAGCAGGAACAGAAATGGATCAGATAAACTGGAAGAAAAGGTCGACAGGATAAACTTTAGCTGAACAATGGGATGCCTTCAGAAAGGGACTGGTTTGAGACAAGGTATATTCCCACAAAAGAGAAATGGAGAACAAACAAATCCAGAGCTCCCTGGATGACAAAGGAGATAGAGATTTAAATAATGAAGGAATGTATCCTCATCATGGGAGACAGGTAGAAAATACAATCGAGAGGAATACAGAAAGCTTGGGGGTGGGGGGAATGACGGAAGTACAAATTAGATAAATGAAGAGGGATTATGAGAAGAGATTGATGGTCAATGCCGAAGTATTCAATGGACATATCAATAATGAAAAGAATAGGTTCGATTAGAAACCCAAAAAGGCATTAAATGAATATTTTGCATTTGGTTTTACCAAGGAGGTAGATAATACCTGGGCATGGGGTGGGGGAGGAAATTCTGTCACTAGAAGTTTCCAAGGTTGTTAAGGAAGAAGTCTTTGATGGACCTAATGTTGACAAGGCACTGGGCCCAGAATTTTTTTATCCACTGTGGGACATGGGCATTACTGGTGGGGCCAGCATTTATTGCCCATCCCTAGTTGCCCTTGAGAAGGTGGTGGTGAGTTGCTTTCTTCATCCACTCTAGTCCATGTGCTAAAAGATGCATCTGAGGATTTTGAAGAGCGCGAAAGTGGAAGCTGCAGGGCGTTAGTCATAATCTTTCAGTCTTCCCTAGGATCAGGCAGGTGCGAGAAGGCTGGAGAATTGTAGATATTATGTCCTTGATCAAAAACCATAAGGGTAATCCCACCAATTACAGACCAGTTAGTTTAGCTTTTATGACGAAGAAATGCAAAACAATTATTTGGGTTAGAAGTATCAGTCACATGGGAAATGATGGGTTGTTTATGAAGAGCCAGCATGGACTTCGAAAGGCAAAGTTGTGTTTCATGAACTTGCTGGAGTTTTTGAAGGAGTCAGTCAGGGTAATGCCATTGACATGATGTATTTGGACTTTCAAAAGGCATTTGATACAATGGCACACAACAGACGTGTGAGAAAAGTTAGAGCTCATGGAATAAAAGGGTCAGTAGATACAAAATGATCCTGGATACAAAACTGGCTGAGTAATAGGGAATAGAGAGGAGTGATCAATGGATGATTTGCATGCTGGACGAAGATTTGTATTGGAGTTCCCCAGATGCTGTATTAACACCCTTGCTTTTCCTGAGAAGTGTGATGTGACGCATTTTGGTAGGAAGAACATGCACAGACAATGTGAAGAGGGAGGCGCGTGCTAAATGGCCTCTTTCTGCAATGTAACAATTCTGTGATTCTGTAAGTTTGCACTTTTTCATAATGGAGAGTGATTGGAAGAGGAACTCGGCTGGTTTTCCCACCTTAGTTTATGGATCCAAGACAGTGAACCCATCATCTCCGCTGTGCAAACTTAAATCAGCATCGACAAACCAGACCAAGTAACATATCTGGAATGGCTCAAGTACTTATAGGGATGTACTCTCAGTCTTGGGACATTGTAATGGAGGTGTCCTTGAATTTGGGATCTCTTTGGTGAAAAGGGTGTTTCGGTAGGTGGAGGGGGAGCATGTAGTGGAGTGAGACCTGGCATAGTCCTGGCAATGCATGATATTGGTGCATTGTGCTGGATACTGGCAACAGAAATTAAAAGCTTGTAATTCTTTATGGATTAATCCTGTGATAATAACAAGTGCCCTGCAAAGTTTTGCAATTTTTCTGGAAATCAATGTGCAAGTTTTAAAACTACAAAGGGAGTTATTCTTGTATTTTGTTGCTTTCTCAGGGCCTTTATCGAAAGGCTGAAAGCCTTTATGCTAAGGGTGAATTTGAACTTGCATTAATGTTCTATCATCGAGGACATAAACTCCGTCCAGATGACCGGAATTTCCGCCTGGGAATTCAGAAAGCTCGGGAGGCTATCGACAATTCTGTTGGAAGTAAGTGCATGTCTTGTGAGGAATTGCCTCTGGTGTTCCCATCCTTCCCCCCCTCTCTATCTCTCTGATGTTAAGGCCAGGATTGAGCTTCATGTGGAGCTGCTGACATGTTGGAAGTCACATGGATAATGTGGCGGGAGGGATAAAGCGAATATAGACAAGGAAGGAGATGGCGGGGCAAGAACGTCCCTGAAGGGTGAAGGGAAGGAATTTTTCAAAATAACAATCGAAAATATTGGAACATGGAAACTATTCAAAATGTAATGGAAGTGGTATTGGCTTTGATGGTTTTGCTTCCTAATTGGTCCCCTGTGGGTGCACCATCTGATTCAAGCAGGACAAGGGGTCCTCCTGCTGCCAATCCAATCAGAAACCTCAGCAATGATATTGTAGGAGCTGGGTGCTGCTGAGGCTGCCCAGTACCTCGACAGATCCTCAAACTGGAGGTGGTTTCACGCAGGTATTCAGAAATAGTAACTTCAGGGTGACAGAAGGCAAAGGGCCCTACTGGTTTTTGGGGATTGCTGGATGTTGGGGCTGCCTTTCACAATTGCGGCTCCCTCTCTTTGGCATGAATCCTCTGTCATTAATGGTCTCCACTGAACAGCCACCATGTTGCCAGCTTTACCTCCAGCCGGGTATTTTATGATGTGGCAATGCTTATGCTAAGTCCTGCAACATAATATCTAGACACAGGTAATGTGGCATTGAAAGATTCAACAAATATTTGTGTCAGCCCCTCAGATATGCATGCTTTACAGTGAGAGGCACTTCAGTGTCAGCTAATATTAACCTGTTATTTACAAACAGTATCATTCTTTAACCAATATACCATGCTTCAAGAGGCCCCTGTTAAGATGAAATTTGAGACTCATATGCCCTCAGGATTTGAGCTATGATATTAACCTTAACACTAACCTAAGTTAATAATATTGCAGACATAACACAGTGTGAACCTGGAGGAACACAGCAGGCCAGGCAGCAACAGAGGACCAGGAAAACTGACTTTTCGGGTCGGGACCCTTCTTTAGAAAATTTTCTGAAGAAGGGTCCTGACCCAAAACGTCAGCTTTCCTGCTCCTCTGTTGCTGCCTGGCCTGTTGCGTTCCTCCAGCCCCACACTGTTATCTCAGACTCCAGCATCGGCAGTTCTTACTATCTCTGAATATTGCAGATATACCTTTATAGAGTGTTCTGAACACTGACAATGAAACATAACATGACACCTCCCACACTGCCTCCCCCCTTACCCCAAACCCCACCTGCCTCAGGGAGTTAGCCTCCATGCAGCTGGCAGTCTCCCTACGCTGCTGGGGGGGGCACTCTGTTGCTGGCAAAATGCCAGCTTTCTCGCGTAACAACAATTAGGGGATCAATTGTGCAAACTGCTCCACAGCAGCATAGCTCATTCTTACCTTGACCAACCTGGTCACTGCTAAGAAACTGCACTGAGACCAGGACGACACAGCAGGAGACCTGATATGACTCCCAGCTGCACCCCACCTGACACAGTCCCTCAAAACCCCCACAGTTTCTCTCTCTCTCTCTCACTGCACAGATGCTGACAGATGTGCCGAATTTTCTCGCCATTTTCTGATTTATCTCAGAGTTCCTGCATTTACAGTATTTTGCTTTTGTAGTCGAAGCATTAACTGGTTGTTGAAAACAAGAATGTTGTGGTGTGATGGAGGGAGTTAGGAAAAGGACAAGAGAAACCTCCTGCTCTTTAGATCAGGGGAAATCAATAAGGGGTCTGGAATTTGGGGAATCTTACAAAGACAGTGAGCGACTGAAGAGCAGACAGTGCATTCTGAAGGTTCAGTCTCTACGTGGTCACACTGTGCACCGAGGTGCCCATCATTTCAGTCTAATAGAGTAACACAAGACAGCCCTGTGCTGTTTGGCCTGCACTGCATGTAGCTGGGGACCAGCAACCAAATAACATTGACGACCAAAATAGATTTACTCAGAGCCCTGCGCCGCTTGTCTGACTATTTTACCTCCCAACAAGAAAATTCAGTGATTTAATAATTCATTTAATTCCCACAGGCCCTTCCTCAGTGAAGCTTGAAACTAGAGGTGACCTGTCCTTCTTTTACAGAAGAGAGGAGGTGAGCAGCTTTAATAGGGGCAAAACAGCTGCAATGACTCAAGAATTCACAAGGATTATAAAAAATAATTTCTCTAATTGCATCAAGGCAGCGGGTGGGAGTCACTGTTGGGTTTCAGGGATGTGGGAAGACATTGGGTTTGGGATATGGTAAGATTGATACTTAATTCTTGGAACTGAGAGTCAGGTCAATATTTATTGTCCATCCCTAATTACCCTTAAGAACGTGACAATCAGTCCATGTAAGTTATAGCTTTCTTCAGCAATTTTGATACAACTGCGTGGTTTGCTAGGTCATTTCATAGGGCTGTTAAGAGTCAATCACATTGCTGTGCGTCTGGAGTCCCACGTAGGCCGGACCAGGTAGGGACAGCAGATTCTTGTCCCTAAATGACATTAGTGAACCAGATGGATTTTTATGAAGACCCAATACTTTCATGATCACCATGAAAGACACAAGGTTTCCATTCCAGACATACTTAATTTACTGATGTACAGGATGTTGGTGAGGTCTCTTTTGGAGTGCTGTGTGCAGTTCTGGCCACCCTGCTGTAGGAAGGATATTATTAAACTGGAGAGGGTTCAGAAAAGATTTACTAGGATGTTGCTGGGACTGGAGAGTTTGAGGTATAAAAATAGTCTGGAAAGGCTGAAACTTTTTTCACTGGAGCATAGAAGGTTGAGGGGTGGCCTTGTTGAGGTTTATAAAATCATGAGAGGCAAAGGTAAGGTGAATGACAATGGTCTTTTTCCCAGGATGGGGGAGTTCAAAACTATGGGGCGTATTTTTAAGGTGAGAAGAGAAAGATTTAAAAAGGACATGAAGATCAACTTTTTTGACACAGAGAGTGGTTCGTGTGTGGAATGAACCACCAGAGAAAGTGATAGATGCAGGTACAGTTTAAAAGACATTTAGATAAATACATGAATAGGAGAGGTTTGGAGGGATATGGGCTAGGAGCAGGCAGGTAGGACTAGTTCAGTTTGGAAACATGGTCGATGTGGACTGGTTGGACCGAAGGGTCCGTTTCTGTGCTGTATGACTCTATGATATTGAATTTAGATTAATCACATGTTGTGCTGAGATTTAAACTGCGACCTTGTTTAGTTCTATTGTTACTCCAGGACAATGAGAGTGGACTGATGACACTTTCTATCTCTCACTAAGAAAGCACTACCGCAAACCAAATCTCAACTGCGAAGGCAGAAATTAAACCTGAAGCAGCAGAGTATGAAAACAGACCAGGATGAGCCGAAAACCAACAAAACTGTCCGAGTGCTTCTGGGAGAGCTGTATGGAGACAAGGAGTACCTGGAGAATCTGCTCCTGGACAAGGGTAAAGATCTGCTCGCTGTATAATTTCATTAATGAGGAGGTAATCAGTTCAGTTACTCACTGCTCGATCTGCCCACCTGTGCGAAAACTCTAAAGTGACTTTAAGACCATAAGATGTAGCAGCAGAAGTGGGGCCCGGGTGCTGGAGCCCAGGCTTAGTCTTTATTTGTAATTAGGTTGATTGTTGTACTGCGACAACTTATGAAAGTCTAATCCACCAACTCAACGCAGCCTCAAATTAAACTGGAAGATCTTCTACTCTTTGTGGTAGACTGCAGCATAGCTTCCACTCCCCACAACAGCCCCCACCCTCCACCACCCCCATGTCATCCACCCCTTACCATCCAGCCATTAGGCTCCAGCATCAACCATTCTCACCCCTCTCTATGTCTGGGACCTCTTCCAGCCTCACCCAGGTCCCAGATTCTGGAGGTCTCTCGGGATACACTCATTCCCTTCTCCCTTCTCTCTCTGGTATTTAAAGTGAGACTTCCATAATGATCATCTGTCCAAGTTAACTTCCTCCAAAAAAGAGAATAACTTCTCTCTTCCTAGGAGGGAGGCCTGCACTGTCAGAGATGCTGACTCTCAGTGAGACATCAATTCAAGGCTCAGTTTGTACCCTCAGGTGGATCATCACCCGTCCATAGTCTGTAAAAGAACAGTTACATTCTCAGTGTTCCAGCCAACATTTATTCCTCAATCACCACCTAAAACAAATTATCTCGCTATTACTTCATCACTATTTATGGGGTTTTGCTCTGCACTGATTGGCTGCCACGCTTCCTACACTACAGCAATGACTGCACTGCCAGGAGTACTTTGCTGACTATAAAGCCCTTTGAAATGTCCTGAAGTTGTGAAAGGTGCTACATAAATGCAAGTTGCTGCAGGGCAGGCACGCACCACCAGTGAGAGCTTCAGTCTTTCCAGAACAACAAACCTTTCACAATTTTAAATGTTCAATTTAAAATGCCCCTTTGCCATTGAGCATTAAGAGGTTCTTTGAGGAGCAGGCTGGAAAGCTCATCCATTGTCCTGAACGTCAGTGTTAATGATGCAAGTGGCTGTCAAGAAGAGGAGGCTCAGAGAGAGGGTCCAATACTTCCCCAGACAGACGGGGAAGGTATTAAAGGAGCCGCTCTCCCATTGCCACCAGCACCGATCACTCAGTATAGCAGCTGCTTTTGGAAAGGGAGGGTTAGATTGAGGGCTGACCACCTTCCTGTTCTGCTTGTCCAGCAGAGAGGCTGCCCATCAAAACAACTATTAAAAAATAATCATAAAAATGCCTCCCTTGACTCAGGACCGCCCTGGTTCAGGAAAGTCCTAATTTGCAGCCAGCTCTGCTGTTACCTGATCGCACCTCGGACAATTGACCTCAGTACCCCAGAGCTGAGGGAGAAGGGGATTAATAGGCGCAAAGTGGGACATATGGAGGTCAGTCCTCCTGAGACTTATCTGATGGTTTTGTTGCATATGGGTCTGGAAGGGTTAATACTGGGGAGTACCATAAGCACTGCCCACCACGGTGATGTCTAATGGACTTGTAGGTAGAGCAGTTTAGAGTCTTCAAAGAGTGAGATCCAACAGTCAGTCCCTCCTTGAATCTCTGTTACGTCAAGGTATCAGAGAATGCTGGAGAAACCCAGCAGGGCTGGCACCATCTGTGGAGAGAGTTAACTCATCAAGTCCAGTATGACACTTCTTCAGAACTGTCCTGTGACATACAGCCAAAATTGCTGAGTGTTTTCCAGCATTCTCCAGGTTAGCTCGCGATTCCCAGCATCCAGCATGCCATTAAACTGTAGCTAGTTGCTAACAAACGATATCTTGTTAATTACAAAAGCCTCTTCTAGCGAGACCGGGTTTCCCTCTCCCACACTACGCCAAGCAGACTCTGCAGTTTCTGACACTTAGAAAGGATGATGGCAGCAATCTTTATGGTGAGCATCAGCTCAGAACGCAATATGAGCTGGCACTGCCCATTCAACAGGGGGCATTCTGGGAGAAGTAGAGAGAGTTTGGCAGCGAGGGCTTGAGAAGGGGGCAGTGTGGGATTATTGTAAGAATTGTTGATGCATTTTCTTTATTCCGAGATTTACAGACCAAAATGTTCCCCATTCTTCTTTTCCACGGTGGAATCAGAACTGATGAAAACCAGTACAGAGAGTGGAGGCAGCATCCAGGAACTGATCATGAACGGGATCACATTCCTGGACACACGCACCGAGTTCTGGAGGCAGCAGAAACCAATCTTTGCCCGAGACCGTGAACAGCGAATAAAGGCACAAAGCTGGAAAACCCAGAGGAAGCAAGTTGAGACAGAGCAAACGACTTTCATCCTCCAGCGCATGGAGGAGATTGACATGTGTACGTGAGAATGACAAATCCTCAAAAAAAGTCCTTCACTGTTGCAGTAGGAAATTTCACTAGAATGAATCTCCCACTACAGTCACCTGAGTAACATATAATGTAGTCAGGTACATTAATCTCACTCTCCATCAAACTGTTAGGACAGGCACAGTACAGGGTTAGATACAGAGTAAGTTCCCTCTACAGTGTCTCCATTAAACATTCCCAGGACAGGGACAGCACAGGGTTAGATACAGAGTAAAGCTGTCTCTACACTGTCCCTCTCAAACACTCCCAGGACAGGGACAGCATGGGGTTAGATACAGAGTAAAACTCCCTGTACACTGTCCCCATCAAACACTCCAAGGACAGGTATCACTTATCTGTGTTCTGAATCATATGAACCACCAAGTCCCAAGGTTGAGTCAAGAGGGAAAATGAGGAATTGTTGCTTGTGATCAAAAGCTGGTGATTATTGCTGGAAAGCTAATGAGTGAGGCTGTTGTGTGAGGATGGTATAGCCATTTGAGCTCGCACAGCAAGTTTGGATGAGGTACCAATGTCTACTTTGCATGAAATCTGAGTGCATTAGTCAGCGAGAGAGAAATAGGGGAGAGGTGCGGCGAAGGGAGAGAAGGATTCATGTGGAATGAATGATGTGTCTTGAGGTTCACTCACCTGTCATTTTTGTCTTGTGTTTGCTCAGTGTTGGCTGATGGCTATCCTGAGGAATGTAAGACTAAGGCCATGGAGTTGGTGCAAATTGTGAAGGAGTGGTCACAGAGAGAGGTTCCTAACAAGGCCGAATTCCTGGGCAACCTGTACAACACCATTGGACTCGCCCAGGTTGAGCTGGGAGAATTTGAGGATGCTCTGACAAGTCATCAGAAAGACCTGCAAATTGCCAAAAAATTGTGAGTGCAATCCATTGCTTGTTGCTGCTCCCAGACCATCCCAGTCTAGATAGCCAAACAATGAAGGATAGAAGTGGATGCTATTTAAACTCATGGGATTCTATTTACAGAGACACGTAATGCTAACATGTGGCTCCTAACCCAACAAGCACAGTTTCTGCCCATTTTTAAGACTGTATAGGAGCACAAGAGTCTCCTTAGTCAATGCTATCCTCCTGAATACAACTAAACACCCAATTAATGCACAATTAACACCAACTTTGAAGCACCATCACTGGAGTTGGGTTCAGTTTTCCACTATAACAATAGAGAATTAGTGTCCCCAGCACAGGTCCAAGGCTTTCTCACAGCTTATCTGATGTTGGTGGGGAAGGTGCAGCACTGCTGGGCATTTTCTGAGGAATTGAGATGAGGGGGGGAAGAGGGAGGAAAGGGGGAGGTAAAATCAGTCCTCTTCATTACCATAGTGATTCCTGCCAGAAAGTATTCAGTTAGAAGGACAGGTTGAGTCTCACAGTCTAGACTCAGACAAAAAGGTTGATCAGTTGATGGAGCTGGGAGAGGGGAACTGATGTCTTGGGTAATAAGAACAAATAAAGGGCTTCTTTTAGCAAAGAATAAACACGTAAAGTGGATACTGTTTTCAAATCCCTCAATGGCTTTGCCTTTTCTTGCCTCTCCAATCCTTTGTGATCTCCAGTCCTGGCTTTTTAAACATCCCTGATTTTGATCGCTCTATCATTGGCAGCCAGGCCTACAGCAGATCTGAATTCCTTTCTGAATGTATCTCTGTGTCCAACTGTGTGATCTCCTGTCCCAGGATGTGTGTCTCAGTGATAAACTTTTTCTGATGAAGTGCTGGTGAAGCACGTTGAGAGATTTTATGATGTTAAGGTATTGTGTAAATGCTGCCAGTGACACTGCTCGGTATGTCTCATGGCACTGTACTGCCAGGATGGCAGCTGAGCGTAAGTCGAAGGCAGACAGAAAACCAGAGGTTCCCGGCCTCAGTATTGAGAGCAGGATTGACCGAAAGACTGAAAGTACCTGCCTGACTCCAAACATGGTAATGAGGCTCGAGTCCAGTAAGTTAACCTGAACAATTGGACAGAATTAACATGTTTAAAAATAGTATTACAAAGAAGTCCTTCCTCATCATTGTTTTTATAATTGTAAACAGTGACAACTTGGAAGCAAAATCAAGAGCCCTGGACAACATTGGCAGAGCGTACGCAAGGATTGGTGAATTTTCAAAGGCTGTGGAGGCGTAAGTATGAGGCATGGTGTTGAGATGCCAACAAGGATTAACCTGAAACCCCATCAAGCCGTGAGCAGTTTGTCGGGTTCCAAATTCTGAAGGTATTTTGCATGGGAAGAGGATCTTGTACTGGGGTAAACTACTAAGTGACGGTTGGTCCTGGTACAAGACCCTCCTATAATCTGGTGAAGGTGGAAGAGCAGAGTCCCCCTGTGTAAGTATCCTACACACCTGAATTGGGTTTAAGGCTGTGCGGCAGAGGTGCTGCTGTATCAGGAGTGCAACGTACAGATGTGACACCAAATCTCCAGCTTGGCATTTTTGGATAAAGCACTGAATTCAACATTGATTCCTCACTTGACACAGTCATTTCTGGAATTCCGTTGTGTGGATTGGTACCCACATACTGATAGCCAATTGATGTGACCTTCTTCTGATGTGATGAAGTAGAGTATCAATGAGTGATTTCTCACTCTCAAGCTCAGGGCTTCCCAAAATGGAGGTTGGGACTCCAAATGGGGTCACAAGTTGAAATTTTAGGGTGTTGTGATATTTGCTATGAATAGTAACTGTCCTGCTGGTCCTTTCTCTCGTGGCAGTCTTAGCCAGTTCTCACTGAGGGATTGTGACAATTTTCAAACATTGATTTGGTGTCATAGTAGGAAAATGCTTGGGAAGCATTGGAATCCAACCATCCAACATTAAATGATAAAAAGTAGGGATCTAAACAGATCCTTTTCCCTTTTATTGTTGATGATTCCACGTTAAAAGGTGAACTCACGGTAGTCCTGCTTTCGCATTAGTGAGATGATCAGTGGTGGTTTAACCTAAGGGTCACCATACCTCGGGCGAGGGAAGAGGTTGAGAAGGAGAATCCTTCATAGTAACGTCAGCCAGTGGGAATTGAAACCACAATGTGGGCGTCACTCTGTGTCACCGGTCAGCCATCCAACCAACTGAACTAATTGACCCCCATGTTCTAGGTTCAGTGTCATGGTAATTAGTGAAGCTGGAAGCAGAGATTGGAAAGCAATATTGATTGATGACATGAGAGAGAAACAATGTAGCAGCTGCATGTAGGAAATGCAATCTCATCCATTTTTGGATGTCAAGAAAGAGCAAACTATTCTCTAAATGGTGAAAAACCAGGAATAATAGAGGAGTAAATAGATTTCAGGGTTCAAGTATGGAGTACACTAAAAAAACTGTTGTCAAATACAAGAGATAATTTAAGATTGTTGGCCTCTCTCTCAAGGGCAGTGGATTGCAAATGGAACAGAGATGGATAAACAGAGATGAGGAAACAGCTTTTTCTCTCAGAGAATATTCTTTGAAATTTCCTTCCTCAAAGGCAGTGGATGCAGAATCTTTAAATATTTTTAAGGCAGAGCAAGATAGATTCTTGGTGACTGAGGGGATGAAAGATTATCAAGGGATATGTAACAATGTAGTGTTGACCTTAAAATCAAATGAACCATGATCTTATTGAATGGTGGAGCAGGCTTGAATGGATGAGTGGCCTACTCTTGTTCCTTGTCCATGTGTTGGTGAGGATGGAATTTGGTTTCAGTTCTATGAAACTCTGTAGAAATCCCTATTCATCCCGTCTTCAGTTTTAAGTACTACATCTGAAGAAGGTACTGGGCTAGGAGAGGGAGCAGCATAGATTGACCAGAATGATCCTGGGTCTCCGATTGTGAGGTTGCATTGATTAGGATGGTATTGCCTTGAATATGGAAGATTGAGGGGACTTCTAATTGAGTTAATGTAGATGATGAAAGGAGGTAATAGTATGGGTAGAGGGAAACTGTTTCCTCTGGTAGTGGAAGAGGGGATATCCAGAAAAAGGGATAAAACATTAAAATTACAACCAGGACATTCAGGAGCGATGTCATTAAACAATTCTTCATACAAAAAGGAGGTGAAATCTGGAACTCTCTCCCTTTGAGGTTAAAAGGCAGTTTGTTTGAGATGGGGGGTTGGTGGTCAGTTGGAAATTTCAGAACGGAGATTGATAGATTTTTGTGAGATGGTGTTGTGTTTCAAGACCAAAGAAGGGTCCATGAAATTAAGATTCAGGTCAGGTAAGATCTTATTAAATGGGAGAGCAGCCTTGAGGAGCTAAATGTCCTTCTCTGTTTTATGTATTGGGGTGTTTGTGGTGGTCTGTTGGTAGTATCATTGAGCTAGTAATCCAGTGACATAGTCTAATGCTCTGAGGATGGGGTTCAAATCCCACCATGGCAGATGGTGAAACTTTAATTCAAAAACTAGTCTAATGGCAACCTACTAATGCCCTTTATGGAAGGAAATCTGTCATCCTTACCTGGCCTGGTCAACATGTGACACTAACAATGTGGTTGATGCTTAACTGCCATCTGGGCAATAAATATTTGCTCAGCCAGCAACGTGCACTATCCAATGAATGAATAAAAAAAAAAGAATTCTGATAGCTATGGGATTCAAGTTTTTTTGATAAGGCCTCGCTTAATGTTATCGTCAGATCATAGGAACAGGGATGGACCATTCAGCCCCTCAAACTGCTTTGCCATGGCTGATCTGTAACCTCACTCCATATACCTGCCTTTTGCTCATATCCCTTAACATTTCTTGTTTAACAAAAAATTATTTGTCTCAGTTTTAAAATTAACAACTGATATAGTATCCACTGCCATTAGCAGAAGAGAGTTCCAAACATCTATCACCTTTTGTGCGTAGAAATGTTTCCTAATATCTCTCCTGTATGGTCTGGCCCTAATTCACAGGCTATGCTCCTAATTCTAGAATTCCCAACCAGTGGAAATAGGTTATCTTTATCCAGTCTGTCTTGTCCTGTTAGTATCTTGAAGACTTTGGATCAGATCATTCCTTAACCTTCTAAATACAAGAGGCCTCTTGCTATTGAGATTGTGTGCTCCAATAGATTAACCATTATGCCAGAGCATTGGTCTATGGTTTTGTGCAGCACTTAAACATAGCAACTGGAAAATCCCAGCACTGTGCTCCATGGACTGATCTCAGCTGGTTGGTAGAAACGTTACTGTAATTGGCCTCAGCACTTTAGGCTACAAAAAGGCAAAATCAGTCAAGATTCCATCACCCAATAATTCTGACCTAAAGGCATCTGTCTGTGTGGACCATCAGACAGGGCAGGATGAGGCTTGGATGTGATAACTGATAAACCTGCAAACACACATCATCTAACCTCAAGACAGAAAGAGAGCTAAGTACTTAGGAAAATTCATAAAATGTAACCATTTATTGCGAGGTGAATTGAATACAAAAGTAGGAAAGTTATGCTTCAATTATACAGGGCTCTGGTGAGACCACATCTGAAGAATTGTGAACAATATTGGTTTCCTTATTGAAAGTAGAATGTAAACGCATTGGAAGCAATTCTGAGAAGGTTTACCAGGCTAAAACCTGGAATGGTTATTTTTTGAGGAAAGGTTGGACAGGTTAGGGATTTTGTGCCGAAGTTTGGAAGAATAGGAAAGGTAACAATACTATGGCTTTAAGAGGTGTATTTTGTCCTGGTTTTTCTTATGAAGAGAGGTTGAAACAGAGGTATGAAGCAGACTGTTCCAGTTTAATAAAGTAAACAGCTTGTGAGGCCTTGGGTTTCCAGTAAATAAAAGCAGCATGAATGGGTGGAGTCAGGCTCCCACAGAACCAGAGTTTTAGTTTAACTTTCATTAGTTGCTGGGGTTTTGAAGCTGATATACATCTCCCCCTGCTACAGAAAAATGCTTGAGTTCTTTTTCTCTGCCAGAATTTTCTCGTGATGTTTTTTCCTCTTGGATTGGAGATACATAGCATGTGAGACAATCTATTGTATTGAATTTGCCTTTGCCAAGGGTCTATATATTTGAGGGGAGATCTTATAGAAACATATGAGATTATGAAGGGAACAGATAAGGTGGAAGCAGGGAGGTTGTTTCCACTAGTAGGTGAAACTAGGACTAGGGGGCATAGCCTCAAAATAAAGGGAAGCAGATGTAGGACTGAGGTCAGGAGGAATGTCTTCACCCAAAGGGTTGTAAATCTGTGGAAGTCCCTGCCCAGTGAAGTGGTTGAAGTCGCTGAATGTGTTTAAGGCAAGGCTAGATAAATTTTTGAACAGTGAAGCAATTAAGGATTATGGTGAGCGGGCGGGTAAGTGGAGCGGAGTCTCAAAAAGATCAGCTGTGATCTTATTGAATGGCAGGGCAGGCTCGAAGGGCCGGATGGCCTACTTCTGCTCCTAGTTCTTATGTTCTTATGTGTGTTTATGGAATGTTACTATATTGGAACAGTTGCTGTTTAGTAGTTAAATAATCTAATATTGTGTTAAGTTTTCCAATAGAGTTAAAATTATACCAACTCTTTTTTTTCTTTTGTTTGTATTATTCCTGTAGGGGAAGAATAAAATATGTTTAACAATGAGGAGTGTGACCAATCGAATTATATCTGGAACACAGCACCTTACACTTGTCTTTAAATAAGATAAAGATTAGGATCTCGGTTATCTCCTTGATATATTTAAAGGGGATTTGGTCTGGTCCATAACAGTAGTGACTTGATTGAAACATATAAGATCCTTAGAGGTAAATGAGGAAAGGATATTTCCTTTTATAAAAGAATTGAGAACCTGGGGTCACTGTTGAAAACTTAGGTGTGGCCCATTTAAGAAAATTGGCAAAAAAATTCTCTGAGGGTGTTTGAAACTCTCTTCCTGATAAGGCAGTAGAAGCAAAGTCTTTGAATATTTGTAAGTCCAAGGGAGATAGATTCTTGTTATGTGAGGGGTTGAAAGGTTATCAGGAGCATGTGGGAATGTGGAGTAATTGAATCAACCATGATTTTATTGAATAGTGGAGCAGTCTCAAAGGGTCAAATGGCCAATCCTTGTTCATATATTCAAATGTAGAACCAGAGCCAGTGAGGAAAGTGTTCCAGCTTCTAGTCTCTGTAGCTGAGTACCACAGTTTGCTGGTTCCAACACATGTAGTGCCATTCTGGGTGGTTTCTGTATGACTCCATGCCAGTCTAGGCAGCATTAACTGAGTCACTGTCTATTGTTCATTTTACAAAATTCTAATTTTATGAAATAAAAATTATGCTTTTAAAAATTCCTGCTTTTGGGAAACTGCATCATTTTATTTGGGATTTTCACAGCTGGACGGAGAAGGAACCTCTAACGAAAACCCACCTTGAACGTACTTGGCTCTTCCATGAGATTGGACGATGTCACCTGGAACTCGGCAATAATGTGGAAGCTCGAGATTATGGTCTAAAGGCTTTGGCATCGGCACAAAAGACGGGAGATGAAGAGTGGAAAATGAACGCCAATGTGCTTGTGGCACAGGCTGAACGTAAGATGGAATATTCTGCAAAGTCTTTCCCAAAACCAAACTTACGACAAATCCTCCCGTATTCATCCAGTTTGGCCATATTTGTAGCTTCAAATTTCTTATATTGTAACTTTCCATAATTTTGTACTAAAAATGAGCAATGCTATTGCAAACAAAATAATCTTCCAACACATTTGGGGTGATGAATTTATAAATCCCATGTTTAAATTTGGGATGCTGCAGAATGCTGAGGGAGCTTGGTCCTAGGTTTCTGGTTTGAATATCTTTCTGACAGAAACTAGCTGAGTTCACACATGCAGAATGGGAAAATCACTGCCTGAGGCATGCTATAATGTTCTGTCAGAACTTTATTTGTCTGTCAAAGGACTGAAGAGTGTATGATGAAGTTTACATTATTTCTGGTGGGAAATGTGATACAAGAGTTCATTGATCTAAAGTTTTTAAAAAGATTTGTAGCTCAGGTTGTGGATGATGTTGTAGACATGCTCGCCGAGCCGGTGGGTTTGATTGCAAATATGTTGTCACCCTGCTAGGTAATATTGTCAGTGCGCCTCCAGTGAAGCACTGGTGTTCTGTCCCTCTTGTTATTTATATGCCTCGATTTGTTGGGATGTTTGGTACCACTTCCGGTTCTGTTTCTCAGTTGTTTGTACACTGGGTCTAATTCAATGTGTTTGTTGATGGAGTTCCAGTTGGAATACCAAACCTCCAGGAATTCCCTGGTATGTCTCTGTTTGGCTTGTGCGATTATTGATGTGTTGTCCCAGTCGGATTTGTGTCCCTCTTTGTCTGTGTGTAGTGAGACAAATGAGAATTGATTGTGTCTCTTGGTGGTTAGTTGGTGTTCGTGTATCTGTATTATCAGTTTTCTTCCAGTTTGGCCTATGTAATGTTTTTTACAGTTCTTGCATGGTATTTTGTATATTATACTGGTTTTGCTGGTTCTGGGTGTGGGATCCTTTATGTTCGTCGTTAGCTATCATAGGGTGGTTGTTGGTTTGTGGGCTACACTGATGTCTAGGGGTCTGAGTAGTCTTGTGGTCATCTCTGATATGTCTCTAATGTACGATCGGGTGACTAGTGAGTCTGGTCATGTTGTGTCTTCCAGCTGTGGTCTGTCTTGGAGGTAACGGTGGATTGTGTTTTTCGGGTATCCATTCCTTTTGAAGACACCTTTTGGTGCTCCTATTGATAGTCCCAATACTTAGCAAAAAAGGTAGGTGGAGCGCATTCAACACAGAAGAGAGGAAATCCTTGGAAAGACTCAAGAAAGAAAAGAACATTGTAATCTTACCAGCGGACAAAGGACGCGTGACAGTAATCCTCAATAGAACCCAACACATTGAGAAAGCTAACGCACTACAAGCAGACATTGACACCTATGAACAGATGGCAATAGACCCGACACCACAGTTAGGGAACTGGATTACAACAACCCTGAAGAAATTACACAACTCAGGAGACATCAGCAAGACAGACTACCAAAAAATGAAGCCAGAGGGATCCAACACACCCCGATTCTATGGACTCCCCAAGGTATACAAACCGGGAGTCCCCCTCAGACCCATTGTCTCACAGCTATGTACACTAACATATAGACTTGCGAAAGAACTCCAACAGGAATTGAAATACTTAGTCGTCAACACTACCCACTCCATCCACTCCTCCCAAGAATTCCTCAACATCATCAAGGTCACCAGGATAGAAGAGGACGAAATTATGATATGTTTCGACGTAACAACACTATTTACATCCATAAACATCGACCTAGCCAATTGCCATACTGCTGGCCGAATCAAGTAGGCAGGCGCCCCAGGACACCAACAACATCAATAAGGACACCACCATGAAACTACTAGATCTGTGCCTCACAACCCACTTCACCTTCAATGACAGAACACCGATGGGATCCCCAATATCAGGACTGATTGCAGAAGCGGTAATGCAAAGGTTAGAATGGACAGCGCTCGCCACTATACAACCCAAACTTTGGGTCCGATGTGTAGATGACACCTTCGTGATTATCAAACGCACAAGACTAGAAGAAACCCACCAACACATAAACAACATCCTCACTGGGATAAAATTCACAAAAGTAGAAGAGAACAACAACCAACTGTCCTTCCTGGACATAATGGTAGAATGCAAAAACAACGGGGAAATCCAGACTAGCATATATAGAAAGACCATCCATGCTGACCAGATACTCAATTACACTAGCAACCACCCCAACGCCCACAAACGAAGCTACATCAGGACACTATTTAAATGAGCCACAACATATTGCAGCAACCTGGAACTACACAAAGCAGAACAGGAGCACCTGTACGGACTCTTCAAAAGAAATGGATACCCAAAAAGCACAATCCGCCATTACCTCCAAGACAGACCACAGCTGGAAGACACAACACGACCAGACTCACTAGTCACCCGACCGTACATTAGAGACATTTCAGAGATGACCACAAGACTACTCAGACCCCTAGGTATCAGGGTAGCCCACAAACCAACAACCACCCTGTACCAGCTACTGACGAACATAAAGGATCCCGTACCCAGAACCAGCAAAACCGGTGTAATATACAAAATACCATGTAAGGACCATGAGAAACATTACATAGGCCAAACCGGAAGAAAACTGACAATACAAATACGCAAACACCAACTAACCACCAAGAGACATGACCAATTCTCACTTGTTTCATTACACATCGTCAATGAGGGACACGAATTTGACTGGGACAACACATCCATAATTGCACAAGCCAAACAGAGACATGCCAGGGAATTCCTAGAGGCCTGGCACTCCAACCGGAACCCCATCAACAAACACATTGAATTAGACCCTGTGTACAAACCACTGAGAAACTGAACCAGAAGTAATACCAAACACCCCAACAAACTGAGGCATATAAATAATAAGCGGGACAGAACACCAACGCTTCACCGGAGGCACACTGATGATGTTACCGAGCAGGGTGACGAAACGTCTGCAATCATACACACTGGCTCGGCGAGCATGTCTACAACCTTGGTTAATTGATCACCTCAGGCCCACTATCCAAGATTATCTTGTATATTTGGTCACTGGGTTTTGTGTTAGATATAATAACTATCCAGAATGACCAAATGTGACAGCTGGTTGGAGTCGGTGTCCCTTTGAACAGTGTTCCTTTTAACCCACTCAAACTCCCTACGCGTCTATAAAATTGAAATTCACCTGTTGGAGCTTCCGGCTCTCAGCTATGCAATGTCAGTAGAGTTGAATCCAAGAGCTTCCCTACGAAGGAGCAGGAATTTTAAAGGAAAAATCCTAATGCGCTTGTCTAATGTTGCACTTGGTGATGATGTTCTGACTCTAAACAGACAGAAAGGACACTTGCTTCATCCCAGGGCAGCAGGAGAAAATAACAGAGAGCAAATTCACACGATCCATAAACCTTCATTATTTTTTTTAAATTCTCCTAGTTAAACAAAGCAAACTTCAGACTGCAGTGACATTCTTCGAACAGGCATTGAGCAAAGCCAAGCTGCTGAATGATGAGCCGGCACAGGAGGCAATCTCAAACGTGAGTAATTCCTGTTTAACCCATGTGGTGTTTCATTGTTGCTGCTTTCCTGTAATTCAGAGGTATTGGGTCCCTGCTGATTTAGCAAAAACGGGAAGCATCCAGGTACTGACTCTGTTCAAACTGCTAGATGTTTCAGGGCAGATTCACCATCCTTTGAGTTTCATTGCAACTTTTGAAGTGTTGCCAGCTGCAATCACAGCTCCATTCTGCCTCCGTGTCCCTTGAGATGATCCAGATACTGTAACAAACTGTCCAATTCTCTTCCTCCCCAGAATCCCACTGCATCAAACTGACACACATTTTCTTAAAGAATAAACCAAAAACCCCAGCAGAAAAGTTGACAAAATGTAGCTCAAAGGACAAAAGAAAATTGTATAAAATTAAAGGAAGAGCCCTATAACATTACCAAAATGAGTGGTAAGACTGAAGATGGGAAAGAATTTATATTTCAACAGAAGATGGTCAAGAAATGGAAAAGAAATAAGAGAATGTGAGAGTAAACCACTGACTGTGTAAATAAATTTTCCCGCATGATGCCATTGATGCCCTTGTCATTTATCTCATCTCAGTGTCGTTTGGTTCTCGACCATTCTGCCAATTGATGCCATTTCTCTCTATCTATTGTCTCTAGACTCTTCATGGGTTTGAACACCTTGATCGAACCTTTTCTCAACTTTCTCCTCTTTAAGGAGAACAGCCTCAGCTTCTCCAAGCTATCTGCATAATTATTTCAGTAATTATTTTTCTAAATAATTATGCACCCTCTGTAATTTACATTTTGTCTGAAAAGTGGAGCCCAGTATCAATCATCTCCTTCCATTCTTTCTATCATAATGTAATCACTTCACACTTCTGTCCATTAGAATTCATTCATCTATGTCTCCAGCCTGTTCTATGTTCTCTTGAAATAATCACTACCCTCCTCACAATTCACAATACTTCCAAGCTTTCAGTATTTGAAACTTGAAATAATGCCATATGCAGCCAAGTCTAGATCATTAATATATTCCAGAAGAAACAGTGGTCTTCATTCTAGCTCCTGCGGAACCTCCTCCCACAGACCGAACTGGTCACCCAAACAACTTCATATCGAGTTTTCACTGTCGCTTTTATTTCATGAGCTCTAACTTTGCTGACAAGCCAGTCTTTTGGCACATTGTCAAACACCTTTTGGAAGTCCAATTACACCACATCAATTGCATCATCCTCACCAACCCACCCACTTCAGGAAATAATTCAACCAAATAGTTTTGATTGTATTCAAGAAATGACTAGATATAGCACTTGGGGTGAATGGGATCAAATGTTATGGGGAGAAAGCAGGATTGGACTATTGAGTTGGACGATCAGCCATGATCGTAATGAACGGCAGAGCAGGCTCGAAGGACCAAATGGCCTCCTCGTGCTCCTATCTTCTATGTTTCTATGTAAACAAGGTTTTTCTTTAACATTCTGTTCTGGTTTTCCTTAATTATTTTTGACTTGACAAAGTGACTGTTCATTTTGTCCCGAATTATCATTTCTAAAAGCTTTCCCATCACAGACATGAAAATGACTGGTACAAGATTGCTGGTTTTATCCTTATGTCCTTGTTTGAACAAGGTGTAACATTTGTAATTTTCCTGTCCTCCAGCACCACTCTGTTTTCTAATAAGGATTGGAAAACTTTGGACAGTGCACTTCCCCACTAATTCCCCTACCACTCCCTATCCCCTCAGCTTTATCTCTCAGTAACAATGTTGCTACATCTCATCTGGTCCAATTTTAAATACATCCAGCCTTTCTAATACCCACTCTTTTCATCCAGTTTAGCCCATCCAGGGTTTTAACTGCCTCCTTTTGGCAACATCTTCTCCATTGTGTAGTGATTGTAACGAGGTCAGTCAAGTGGGCCTCACAGAGTATGAATTCCCTGATTGGGGCTGTTAACTTGGTCCAATCAGGGAGCCCTGGCTGACAGATATAAACAGGAGTGTCAGGGGTTCTGGTCACTCTAGCAGCTGGCTCTGAGCCAGCTGGGTCAGTGTACTGTCACCAAGTCACCCTCTACTTACACATGCATAGTACACCTTTTATTTAGACTTCATGGAGTTATTTCACCTTGACAAAGGCAAGTGCAAAGTGCTTATTCAGTACCCTGGCCATACTCTCTGTCTTCTGCAAAGATCCCCGTTTTGGCAATTAATCAGTACTTTTTGTGAGCTTATTATTATGTGTATCTTTAAGGAAGACTTTTGAATTTGTTTTAATAGCAGCTGTTTGTCTCCTTTCATACCGTGTTTCCCTCGACCAAGTGGCACTGAGATTAATTGTGCCACTGCAATGGCTGCCTACCTCTGATCAAGCAAGTTGTACCAGGCTGGGAATAAAGGCCAAGACTTGGTCTTTCTTCTTTATTTAATGTGCTGCAATTTGACCATATGAGAAACTGTTACACATTTGTGTCTGGAAGCCACGTTAACAATGCGTTGGTTCCACTACAGGCCCTGAAAGATAACAAAAAGCAGATTGAGCTGGCTGAGCAGGCGAAACAGGAGGAGCTTGAGCAGCTACACGAGAAACAGAGAGCTCATCGGCTGAAACGTAAGAGATCTCGATGTGCCTGGTTGCATTCACTTAAACACACATAACACACATTCAATAAGCTAGACATGTCACCATCCACTGGCAGCGTGCAATTATACCAAGGCTTTTATTTCTTACTTTGTATCTTGGCTTGAGATCAAATTGAAATTATTTATTTCTACTGTTATAGTCCAGACAGCAGTATTTGCACTAAACTAACAATATTTACATAGTATAAATGGAGGTGGTAACATAGTGGTCATGTCACAGGAGTGGCCATTCAATGGCCTGGCTAATGGTCTGGGGACATGGGTTCGAATCCCACCCAGCAGCTGCTGGGCTTTAAATTCTATCAATCAATCAGGAATTGAAAGTGATGTGGCCTTGAAACTGATTTGATGCTTTAAAAAAAGACATCTGGTTCACTAATTTCCTTTAGGGAATGAAATCTGCCATCCTTAGATGCCAAACCACTGAGAAGGTTGACTCTTAACTGCCCCTGAAATGGGTAAGCTGCTCATTTCAGGGGCAATTAGGGATGGGTAACTATCGCTGTCTTTGCCAATGATGCCCACATCCCACGGAGTTAAGGACTTTGAAGATAATTATGAAGATTATTGTGTCCTTTCCTATTTACTTATTCTTGTCGATTAAATAGCTCTCCGCAAATAGCCTGCTCGAATTTCTAAAATCTCTAAAACCTTGATTTCTGCTATCTGAGAATTATTTACGGAGATTAAAAACTCAGAGTTTTCAATTGCGACCTCACCAATTTTTATTTTCCTGCACTTGATTTTCTTGTTCATCAAACTGAAAAACCAAAAGCAAAATGAAATGTGTATTTCAACATCATCCAGTCCTGCAGGTTAGATACATCATGCTCCCTGACTGCTGTCCCCCGCAGAGTGCTATAATCTGATGTCAGAACAACAGCCTCATTGTGTGGCATTGTAAACACCCAAGATGCTGTTATTGATAGTCGTGAAGATAATAGTGACAGACAGACTCTTCTTGATTAGGAGAATATATGAAGGAGATCATAAGGAAACAAACCCTGTTGGTGTAACAAGAGAGAATGATCAGAACCTGATTCAAATCTCTTACCAACCTTGTCTTTGTATCTTCAGTGATGACCACAGGAGTTTGTTATCTTTAATTATTAACATGTCTTCTCTGTCCTTCATTGTCTGCACTAACTTTTGGGCTTTTTTTTAATTGACACAGTTCTGCTGACAGATGGTCTAACCTACTGAATTAGGGTGTGAAATGTTCCCGAATTTTGGATTGTGACCTTAATATCAGTTCTGTGGTCTTGACGGACAAGGCAGGGATGACATGTTACAAACTAGGTTTGAGTAGCTGGACAAAAGATAACCATACTGTTCTCTGCTGAGCAACCAAACACCAGGAAACTCAGGCCACCAATAATTATGGACTTCTCCATCATGTATCACATCTCCACTCAGGATGTTCCCAGAGTGATGCAGCCTTGGTCATACCATTGTACATTGTGTTTTGCCACATTATGCACCAGTTCTCCATTGAGCCCCTGCAACTCACACAATTTTTTTCTGACTTTGTAACACAATACACCTCTACTCCCTCTCCGCTAAATCACATTACAACCCTAACTGCAGCTGTAGTTGTGTATATCGACTCTTTGTGTACTGAATATTAATTAGCAACCAGAAATTTAATAACAACGAAGGATTTGTAATCACAGCTCAGGCAGGATTAAATTCTATGATTTGCAGGCACCAGCATGATAAACAAAAGTAGGAATCCGATTGTTTCTTCAATGTCCTTCCTCAAAATCTTGCTTCAGAATAACAAGGTTGAATATATGAAATCTAAATAATAAGATGAACAAGGCCACCAAAAGTGGAAATAGGATGTTGGGATGAATTTTGAGAAGAGTAGAATTGAAAAACAGGGTAGTTATGTTAAACTTCCTTTGAACCTCAGTTCAACCACATTTACTGTATACTGCTCCTGTCTCTGTGTCGCAGAAATTAGTGTCAAGTTGCAGGAATTGCTGTATAGGACTGAGATGATAAGACGTTTCTTCATTAAGAGAGTTACGAATTTTCAGAATTCTCTATTGCGGTGACCTATGGATGTTTGTTTGTTTTAAATAGGTTCAAAACTGAGATCAATGATTTTGACAAATCTTTAGTCTTTAAGGGAACATGAGGATAACTTGGAAAAGTAAAGTAAAAGTTGAAGATCAGCTTCGCTGTTATTGAATATTGGAGTGGCTTTGAGACGCCATATGACCTACTCCTGCTATTTCTTACTTCGTAATTAAAAAGAATGTAGAGACACTGGAGAAGATCCAAAGGCGATGTACAAAGATAATACCAGGCAGAGAAGCTATACCTTTCAGAAAGACTGAACAGGCTGGAGCTCTTTTCTCTTAGGAAGGGAAGGCTGAGGGGTGACCAATAGAGGTTATGAATATTATGAAGGGGTTAAATAAGATAGATGCAGAATAGATGTTTCTATCTGGGGAAGACTAACGACAGCCATCAATATAAGATAATGAATCCAACAAGGATTTCAGAGTAAACTTTCTTTCTATGTGTACATGAGATAAGAGTATCGCTGGCTAGGCTAGCATTTATTTCCCATCCCTAATGGTCTTTGAGAAGATAATGGCAAGATGCCTACTTCAGTCACTTGAACAGTGCGAGTTTTTGTCTGGGGTGGACAAAGTCAGAAGTCACACGACACCAGGTTATAGTCCAACAGGTTTAGTTGAAATTACAAGCTTTCACAGCCCTGCTCCTTATGATTTCAAATAAACCTGTTGGACTATAACCTGGTGTCGTGTGACTTCTGACATTAGGTAGTAGTTCCAGGATTTTGACTTAGGAAGTGGATGACCTGCTGATCAATTGGGGTTGCTCTGTACCTGATGGTTTTGAGCTTCTTGAGTCTTGGATCTACACTTGTCCAAGACAAATGAAGTGTATTGCATGACACTCCTGTCTTGTGCCTTATCAGATATACGTTTTGCTTAGCACATGATGAGAATGTAGAATTTGCTGCCAGATGGAGTAGTTGTGATAGGTGCATTTAAAGGACACCTAGATGTGTACAGACATAAGTATAGAAGGAAATGTTGATAGTATGTGACAAAGTAAAGTGGGATTAGCATGAATCATAAACACTGGTACAGGTGAATTAGTCCGAATGGCCTGTTTCTGCATTGTAAATTTAAAATTAACTCTCTATTAGGTTTGAGTAACATTTTTTAACCTCTTGATTTTACCACTGTAGTTGGTCCGCTCGTTGTTGATCGGACAAGGACTAAGAAACAGAAACGTACTGGTATGTTATCCATGTAGACAAACTGTACTCTGTCAGCAACATATATCAGTCACATGTACATCTGCTCATTTACACCCCCCTGCATTTTAATCAACCCTTTTCTGAAGGATGGCTCACAAGGTGTTGTTCTCATTATAATCCATGAGACAGTGGAAAATGAGGCTGGAGATTAGAAATGGAGGATAAAGAGATGGCAGACAAATCGAACAGGTATTTTGCACCGGTCTTCACAGTAGAGAATACAACTAGCATTGCGGAAGTAGCTGTCAGTCGGGAATTGAAATGGAGGGAGGAACTGAAGAAAATTACAATTACCAGGGAAATAGAACTGAGCAAATTGTTGGAACTGAGAGTTGTCAAGTCCCCAGGTGCTGATGCATTTCTTCCCAGGGTCTTAAAAGAAGTAGCCAGTGAAATAGTTGATATGTTGGTTTTAATTTTCCAAAGCTCATTAGATTCTGGGAAGATTCCTTGAGATTGGAAAATGCCAAAGCAACTCCTTAATCCAAAGAGGGAGGGAGACAGAAAGTAGGAAACTGCAGGCCAGTTAGCTTAATCTCAGTCATAGGGAAAGTGTTAGAGACTATTATTAACAATGTTTGAACAGGCACTTGAGTAAATTCAAGGTAATCAGGCAGAGCAAATACGGCTTTGTCAAAGTGAAATCATGTTAAACTAATTTATCGGAATTCTATGAAGAAGGAACTTGTGCTGTAGATAAAAGGGAACCAGTGGATGCATTGTTCTTAGATTTCCGGAGGACATTTGGTACGGTGCCAGAGCCAAGGTTTTTGCAAATTATAAAAGCTCATGGTGTTGAAGCTAACACATTGACACAGAGAGACGATTGGCTGGCTAACAGGAAGCAAGGAGGAGGAATAAGTTGGTCATTTTCAGGCTGGCAGGATATCCTGGGTGGTGTACCCCAAGAGTCAGTGCTGGGACCTCAATTCTGTACAATTTGTAGAAATAATTCGGATGAAGAGATCCAAAGTACTGGAGCTAAATTTGCTGATGACACAAAGTTAGGCAGGAAAGTGAATTGTGAAGAGGATATAAGAAGCCTACAAAGGAATATAAATAGGTTCATTGTGTGATTAAAGATCTGGCAAATGTGGAGCACCGTGTGGAAAAATGTGAAATAGTCTGTTTTGGCAGAAAGAACTAAAAAGAAATGTATATATTATATGTTATCTAAATGGTGAGAGGTTGCAGAGCTCTGAGATGCAGAGGGTTCTGGGTGTCCTCATGCGTAAATCACAGAAGGTTAGCTTGCAGGTACAGCAAATAACCAGGAAAGCTAACAGAATGTGATGGCTTGTTGTGAGGGGAATTGATGCAGGAGTGGGGAGGTTATGCTGCAGTTATACAGGGCATTGGTGAGACTGTATCTGGAGTCCTGTGTACAGCACTGGTCACTGTACTTACAGAATGATGCTAATGCATTGGGAACTGTTCAGAAAAGGTTTATTTGACAAATACCGGGAATGAGTGGATTGCTTTCTGAGGAAAGGCTAGATAGGCTGGGCCTATATCCTCTGGAGTTTAGAACATCAAAGGTGACTTAAACACATAAGATATTGAGGGGATTTGACTGGGTGAATGTGGAAAGGATGTTTCCTCTTGTAGGAGAATCTGGAAGTCGTAGGGGTCAGAGTTTGAAAATGGAGTGAGGTTGCCCATTTAAACAGATGAGGAAACTTTATTTTCTTTCAGAGGGTTGTGAGTGTTTGGAATTCCCTTCATTAATGGTAGTGGATGCAGAATCTTTAAATATTTTTAAGGCAGGGCTAGATAGATTCTTGATCACTGAGGGGATGAAAGATTATCAGGGATATGCAACAATGTAGAGTTGAGGTTAAAATCAGATCAACCATGATCTTATTAAATGGTGGAGCGGGCTTGAAGGGCCTATGGCCTAAGCTTGTTCCTTGTTCATATGTTTATTTCCATCCCTTGGATTCTGGTCATTACAAACCATTGGACCAGTACACACACATCACCTTTAACCATTATTGAGAAGGTAGTGCCTGTCCATATGAGATATCAAAGCTGAGCGTAATATTCTCATCAGTGAATAAATGCAGCCAGGATAGCGACCAGGAGGGTGAGTTTATCCCTCCAGTATCCTAAGGCTCCAACAACAATGATGGGATCCCTCCCAGCAGGCTAATTGAGATCCACTGACTCGGCACAGAACAGGCATAAACCCAGCAGCATCCTGGACTCAATGGTTTGACCACCTATTGGATCAAGTCCCTTGCTCTGATGGAGCCTTGCACCTCATTGCAACTGAGCCCATCTGGCTCAACAACTCAATAGTGAAAACAGGGGAATAGTCGGACCCAGTTAAGATGGCTGTGATGAGGAAAATGCAGTGGTCAATCCAGCAGCAGTGGTTGAGAACATGTTAAAGGTGGCACCCTTGCTTTTTCCTAACTCCTCAGTTGGTTGTTGTGACCAGCCCCTGGAGATGGTTTCCTGGGCTGCAGCGTGCAATACAGGTTGATGTTGGGGCAGTATATATCCTGGAGAGAATGAAAGCGACTCGTGTGACTGTGGAATTTCTGTAACCTGCCATCTTCCCACTGCAGCCTTTTCAACTGTGGAGCCACCTTCTCTGGGAGCTGAAGATGTCACTGATTCCACCCTCGGTGCTCAGGGTAGGTAGCCAGACCTATGTGCAGCTCCTCTCCAGTCAGGCCTTTGTGCGTTCTGTTCTGCACCAGGATTGAACTATGCTGTGCCTTTACCTGACCCATTGAGTTCAGACTATTTCCCTCTCCTCCTTTCCTGTCATTTACACCATTGAATCTGAAAACCTCAATTTCCGTGTTCAGGATTAGACGCAGATAAAATGATAATTATTGGCTGAACTAATTTTAAATTAATGTTTGGGCAAAATTAAACATGGATATAGGGTATGACGAAGAACTCTGAGAGAGTGAGACCAGGAAAGATTTTGTTTTTACAGCTATATTAGTTGGGGTATATTAGTTTAAAGTAAGGCATTTTCAATGGGTTGGTGGTGTTTGGATTTGAAATTACTGGACCAAAAAAAGCTTCAAAAGATTTATTTTTTGTTAAAAGTCTTTTTACAATTATGTTCAAACACGATTGATATGGTCAAATGAGATGCACAACATACTGCAGCCATCTCCTTTGACCTTGTCTCACTCCTTTTCCCTGCCATTCCCAGAGCCACGCTCTCATTCTGACCCACTGATCTACTGTCTTGGTCAACCCAGTGTGTTCTGCAACAGGAACAGCCTGGCCTCCACTCCCACACACTCCTGAAAATGTCCTGTCCGTGGTTTTCAGGTCAGATCATAACCTTCCCTGATTATTCTTTTTACTGTAACAGCAATGGGTTTACCATGTTTTAATACGTTGGTCAAATTGCAGCTTCAACTGGCAAGTTAAACCAGCCCGAGAGCAGGACGGTATGGAGGCTCAGTGGTTAGCACTGCTACCTTACAGTGCCAGGAATCCGGGTTTGATTCCACCCTCAGGTGACTGCCCGTGTCTGCCTCTGGGTGCTCCCAAAGATGTGCAAGTTGATGGATTGGCCATTATAAATTGCCCATAGAGTCCAGGGATCTGCAGGCTAGTTGGATTAGCTGTGGGAAATGCAGGGTTATCTGGCTGGGAGGTGAGTCTGTGTGGGATGCTTTTCGGAGGGTTGGTGTGGACTCGACAAGCTGAAAGGCCTGCTTCCACACTGTAGGGATTCTATGGGTATAATGACCACACTCCATCTGTATGAACTGACCCGGAGTGAGGGGATAAAATTGTTCTTGTGTCCAAATGAAGAATAAGCCAGAATGGGAAAGCCAGCTCAGCCCATTGTCGAATAGTCTCTCATATTGTGGAACCACTGGACACTAATTTATCAGTCAGCCTTGTACAGAATCCCATTGGTGGATTAGAAGAACAGCATTTCGAACAAAAGCAACTGTCAGAATGTTATTATTATCAAGGGGAACCAGTGATTAATTTAGAATTTTCATAAGCTTTTCATGTGAAGCTTGTGTGATTGAGCAGAATTGTTTAACCTGATGTTTTCGTGCACTAGGTGCTGAGAAGGCTGGTGAGGCAATAGAAGCAGAGGAATCCTGCTCCGAGGGTAGGTTCTAATGTAGCCAGCACTAAGGCACCATCATTCACCCCCCCCCCCCCCCCTCCATCATGATGGGGTTACACTGAATCACTGAGATATCTGCCCATCCTCAATCAGAATTCCGATTTGAAATACGCTCCCGATTTCTCAGCACATTATGGGGTTCCAGATCTGTTCGGTGCTCCATTAAACCACTAATAGCTTTCAATAGCTTTTATGGAAATACCTGAAACAATAGGAAAGTACATTACTGTTTGTAATTTGAACTGTGTTTGACATCATCAGCGATAGAGAGTTAGCTTAGTTAGCTGAAAGGCTGGTTAGTGATGTGAGTGATACCAACAGCCCAGGTTCAATTACCACACTGGCTGAGGTTACCATGCAGGGTTCTCAACTTCTCCTCTTTCCTGAGGTGTGGTGGCCCTGAGGATAGACCATCACCAGCTGTCTCTAATGTAAGAGTAGTGCCATGGTCTGGTAAGACTATGGCAACTTTACCTATTAGTCAGGAATAGTCACTGAAGTTATGCAGACTTTCCATTTCACGTTGAAACATGCCCAGGGTTTAGATGCAGAGTTAAGCTCTCTCTACACTGTCCCACATCAAACATTCCCAGGACAGAGACAGGACAGGGTTAGATACAGAGTAAAACTCTCTCTACACTGTCCCCATCAAACACTCCCAGGATGCTCCAGGAGATATTGTCTTTGGACACACATAGTGGTAGAGAATAGACCTTCATTTTCTGAGTGGGAAGTGGAAGCTAGTGATTAGCCCACTGCCCCTGAAGTCCCAGATTGTTATTCTGTTAAAACCAGGCCTTTACCTCACATGGTCAGAGTGGTAATGGAGCAGAAGTTGCCTGCATTATTGGTAGAGGGAGAGAATCCTTTGTATTTGGAATATTTAATGGAATGGAGGTATTTGGTCTTAGGCAGTACAAACAAATGCATTCCCTTCACAATCAAACACTGAAGTAACCCATAACTACCATCCATTGCTTCTACCCCTCAATTGGGTAAGGTTTCAAGATTTTGTTCTGTTTTGGTACCAAAATATCTGAAAGTCTCTCCATTTTGCATATTTCTGAGTGCCCAGGTCCCACACACTGAGAGGGACCAGTGAACAGGTTACGGAGCATTGACCCCAGGTAATTAACCACAGTAAAGGACCAGGGGCATTGCTGTCCATTGAAGAGAGCTGATTGGTTGTACACCTTGAGGGGCAGCAGACTACACCAAGCTTGGGGCAAGGCAAGGTGACTGGCCCACTATGGATGTCCACTTCTGCATTGGTGCCATTCTGCATCACACACTGGAAATCTAAGCTAAACTCCCTCTGCCCCAACCTAACAACACATCCTAACTCCAATAAGGAATAATTCCCACCCCCTGTGAACAGTGATCTGATCTCTATGGCCACCCATGGCTAGGGGAAGGCAATGCCCTAGTGGTATTCTCGCTGGACTGTTAATCCAGAGATCTGGATAATGTTCAGGGGACCCAGGTTTGAATCCCACCATGACAGACGGTGAAATTTGAATTCAATAAAGAAAGTATCTGGAATTAAGAATCTAACAATGACCATGAATCATCTGGTTCACTAATGACCTTTAGGGAAGGAAATGCCATCCTTACGTGGTCTGGCCTACATGTGATTCTAGGCCCACAGCAATGTGGTTGACTCTAAACTGCCCTCTGGGCAATTAGGGATGGGCAATAAATGCTGCCTGGCCAGCGACACCCTCAGCTAGTGAATGAATAAAAGAAACATAATTGATCAGCTAGTTCTCAGGGTGGGTATTACCCAAGGAATGATTGGCAGCTGTGTTGGCAGACCATGCAGCATTATAAACAGGATGTCCCTGTGCAATCTGCATTAAGCACTTTGTTAAAGCATAAGCTAAGAGTAGCAGTAAGGTCTCATTGCCAGCAGAGGAATCTGTTTTAGAATATTCCTCATATTCAGTTACCCAGAACCTTCAGCTCCCAGCGCAATATTCTTTGTTTAGAAATTTTTCATCTCCTGCGGGTTCAACTGTCAGAGTCTGGATGAGCTTGGAGTGTCTGCTGGGTCTCAATGCCAGGAGCTGCAGCTTTCAAAGGGTTGCCCAAGGATGAATGTCTGAGGCACTGACTCGGACACACTGCACCGACCTGAGGCCACCCCAGCACAGTCTCCATGGAAGTGAATCACCATTTTACTCCCATCAGAGTCATAGTGAATCATTTACTGGGGATGCTTAGAGACAGTAAGCCGTGTAATTGACAAAGTTAACATGTTTGTGTAATTTCTTATTTTGATGCAACAGAGTTCAGTTCATCAGATTCTGTCTGTGGGCTTTATTCATCAGAAAGTGATCACGTTTCAGATTTGTCTCCTCAGGGTAGGTTTGCTGGTTAATACTATGTGTGTGTGTGTTTATGTGTGTGCGCGTGTGTGTGTGTGCGTGTGTGCGTGCGTGTGTGTGTGTGTGTGTTCAGTGCCAGATCGCAGTTAGATGCACACAGAGGTGTAGAAGGATCATTTCAATGATGCTGTCTGTGATCTTTCTCTTGGATTACTCACATATTGTCCACACCAATTGTTAATATCTGGACTGGACATGTAATCTGGAGCCTCTAATTTAATACACAGATGATTGGGCTGAAATAAAGGCTTGTGACAAATACAGGATGGTTCCACACACACAGGTGCACATGGTTATCAGGTGAATGTGACCTCAGGTGAAGCAGTTACATTTTCCACAATTAATTCTTATTGTCTAGGGGTTGGAGGGATGCCTGACAGACAGGTGTTGGCAGGCTGGTATTGTTTAGCTATACAGCTCACCCTTAGCCAATCTCTTTTATGTTTTCATTAGTCTTTTGTTACAATTTATTCTTACTGCTTTCTGAAAAACATTGTCACAGAAAGCGTGCAGTGTTTTCCTGTCAGTTTTGCCAGTTGCAGGCCTATGTCTATCAACACCTTTGTGTTATCACAGAGCAATGCGCCTTAAAGGCTGAATCCACTGATGGCCACAGACATGGGGGAGGTGGACAAAACGCCCCCTTGACACAATGGAACTGAATGTATGATTCAGTGGGGAACTCAGTGTGAACCTACAAAGGAATTGTAAAAAGTTTTATCAAGGGAAGGTGTGTGTTTACATTGAGACAGAATCTGTGTGAGCGAATATATCAAGGGAAGGTCTGTTATTCCCTCTTCTTTCCATAATTTGGGAATTGTATTTCCAAATTAAAATAAATGGATATGTGGAAAATGTATTATAATAAAAATTGCCTGAAGGCCTCAGCAGATTATGTAGTGTTTGTGAAGAGAGGATTGTAGTTTGCCTCTCAGACAGAGAGTATCAGCCAGAAATATCAATTCCTCCTTCCTCCCTCCACAGGCATGAGTTTCTGTACAATCTAGCTGTGGTACCCATTCCTCTGCCATCATTGAAATGCAAACCAACATTTACACTCTGCACTCACATGTGAGAGAGACAGGGTGGGTTGTGAGAAGATGCTGCTGCCTGGGAACGCTACCTGAGCAAGAGTCAACTTGCTTCAGGAGAGGAACTTGAAAGAATTAGAAAAAAATGTTAAGTGTAGCTTGCACAGTTGATTAGATTTTCTTTGACATACTGTATTTATACAACAGAATCCAAAGTCTCTCCTGATCAACCGGTCGTTTCTAAACCTTCAGATGGTAAGAGAATTAAGTGGCTTAGGTTGAGAGGGGAACTATCATGAATAGACTGAATGTAAAAACCGAAAGATAGTCTCAGGTTCTCATCTGCCCTCTTTCATTCTGAATTCGATCCAAGTTGTTGTCGATGAAGCAATTTTTCTGTTGTTTCTTGTTATCAGCCTCATCCACGTGTTTTCATTGCTTCTCATTTACTTGTCACTGTTATTGATTCCTGCTGTGTGCAAATCAGAGCTGAGCACTAACTCCCTATCCACAGAGCTGGAGCTGGCTCTGAGAAATGTGATGAGGCGTTTAATCATTCAGTCTTTACTGTGCCATATCTGAGTATGATAGCACCTTGCCATGTGACTGATACAGTAAAGCACATTTGGTTCCAGCTCCCTGGAGAATTGTGCAAGAAGCACAATGGCGGCACGGTGGCTCAGTGGTTAGCATTGCTGCCTTATAGCACCAGGAACGGGGGCGACTGTCTGTGTGGAGTTTGCACATTCTCCCCGCATCTGTGTGGGTGAATTGGCATTGCTAAATTGTCTATAGTGTCCAGGGATGTTCAGGCTAGGTGGGTTAGCCATAGGAAATGCAGGGTTATTGAGACAGGTTAAGGGGCTGAGTCTGGGTCTGGGATGCTCTTTGGAGAGTCGGTGTAGATTCACTGGGCCAAATGGTCTCTTTTCACACTGTAGGGGTATTCCAGGATTCTGAGCTTGGAAGCCAGCAACATGCCTGAGACACCACATGTGCCCCAGATTGAGCAATGGGTGCAAAAAGACTTGGAATCATGACATGGAGTTTCTGCTGTGCTTGATAGCTCCTGTGCTGTGTTTCAATGAGAGGCACCTGCCCTTCCAAATGAGTGAAATGTTTAGGCAGATGCTGCAGCTGCCACACTGCCTTTGGGAATGGGTAATGGGCACTTAAGGACCTTTAAAGGTCCTCATCCCACCACCAATGATATTCAGCTAGTGGAGAGTTGAGCAGCGTGGGGTTTGTTTCTAGGCTCCTGGGGTTCCCTTTGTTCACAGGAGCTCAGTGGCTGCGACAAGAGGCTCAGCAGCAGGGAGGGTGTTATTGTCTTCACCCAGTGATTACCCCAGCCCCAAACATGCATCTTAGCACCACCCACCCCTGCCGCATTCACCTGGGCCCTGGGTCTCTCCCTGCTCCTCCCCATCTTCAGGTGGGTGTAATACTAACAGGTGTCAATGCTGTTCCACCCTGCCCTGCCCCACCCCATCCTCCAATACAGGCTTTGATGGCAACCAATTCCTGGCTTGGGATTCCAGCCCAGGTCCTTGACCACAGGGAGAGTGTTGCCTGTTTGACCCTTAGTACAGGGGCTTTCCCCAAGGGAGAGAATACAGACCTCATATTCAAGACCCATATCACCTGGATCAAACTCCATCCATGCCTGAATTACAGGGTTTGTTTTCGGCAGGAAGGGTTGCTCCATCACAATGCATATCTAATGCTGATTCGGCAGAATAATTTCAAAGGATTACATTATGGGAACTTGTACTCCCATGAGATTGGAAGATTAAGGTGTGCGCACAAAGATGAAGGTTAAAGGGATGAAAGAAAGGAGCTGCAATGGTACATTCCCCACAGAAGAAATGAAAATGTTAGTGGGAATATTTAAGTATATCTCAAAATTATTGAATAGAGTTTGTGTAACCTGCTGTCTTTGTGCAATAGACTTCCAGGCATCTCTTGTTCGGATGGTTCCAGCACAAGATGGAGAACGGGCTGAGGAGGGTAGGTTCAGAATATAGTGATAGTGTCATAAAAATAAAATTATAGAACTTTCCAACAGGAAAGGAGGCCATTTGGCCCATTGTGTCAGTACCAGCCCACTTTACAGCTCTTGGTCTTAAGTTTTGCAGGTCACAGCACTTCAAGAGAAAATCCGAATGTTTTTTAAATGTGGCAAGGTATTTGTTCAGGCAATAAATTCCACTTCCATACTACCTTCTGGGTGAAAGCTGTAATAACCGTCGAAAAACAACTATTGCACCAGATATAGTAAGAACTGCCGATGCTGGAGTCAGAGATAACACAACGTGGAGCTGAAGGAACACAGCAGGCCAGGCAGCATCAGGGGAGCAGGAAAGCTGACGTTTCGGGTCGGGACCCTTCTTTATAAAATGAATTTAAGAATTTCTGAAGAAGGGTCCCAACCCAAAACGTCAGCTTTCCTGCTCCTCTGATGCTGCCTGGCCTGCTGTATTCATTCAGCTCCACACTGTATTATCTATTGCACCAGATGCCTGTCTGCGTCAAGTTTTTTTGTTTTCTGTCCCAATGTTTTGAAATGTGCTTCATCTTCTTGAGTTCACACACAAGTTTTCATTCCTTCTTATTTAATCACTGGTGGAATTTTAAGCAGGGTGCCATGAGATCTATTCTGCACCAAGGGAATTCCCAATCAGGGGCACGAGCATAACAGAGGTCCAGGACATGGAATGAGTGACAGAGACATTAATTAGCTCTTGACACAAAAGTAAAGTACTGCAATTGCTGAGTTCTTCCATGGCTAAGAACAAACTAGGCAATAATGGGATATTATGCAGGGATGAGTAATATTGAAAATAAAGGAAGAGGCATACATGAAGTATATTGGCAATCAAGGAGAGCATTATAAATGGGAATTCAAAGAGGTGGAGAAAGATTGCAAAATAATTAGGAAACAAAAAAGGGATTACACATGTAATTATTTCTTTGATATGTTCTTTAGTAAAGTATTCCAAAGACACATACATAACCAAAGGGAAATTAAGATAGGCAGCAATGGCAGGAGTACAGAATGGTATTGACTGGGGATCAGTTGGTTTGATTGATCGATTTATTGTCTCGTGTATCGAAATACAGTGAAAAGGTTTCTTTACGAGCGGTACAGGCAGATCATAATAAGCAAAGGATGTACAGATCAAAAAGACTTAGACAGAGGCATAAAGGTTACATTGCATTAGTTGAGATCAACATTAGCAAGATCAATGATAACACAGTGTGGAGCTGGAGGAACACAGCAGGCCAGGCAGCATCAGAGGAGCAGGAAAGTTGACGTTTCGGTTCAGGACCCTTCTTCATAAATGGGGGAGGTGGAAGGGAGCTCAGAAATAAATAGAGGGAGGAGGGGTGGGGCTGGGGCAGGTAGGTGGGATGGTGATAGGTGAGTGCAAGTAGGGAGTGGTGAGGATTGGTCAGTGAGGTGGGAGGAACAGATAGGTGGGAGAGAAGATGGACAGGTTGTGTCAGGTCAAGGAGGCGGGGATGAGAGGGAGGGTTGGACATGGGATGAAGCCGGGGGTGGGGAGATTTTAAAACTGGTGAAATCCACATTGAAACCATTGGGCTGGAGGCTCCTGCGGCAGAATATGAGGTGCTGCTCCTCTAGTTTCCGGGTGGTGTCATTGTGACACTGGAGGAGGCCCAGGATGGACATGTCACCCAGGGAGTGGGAGAGGGAGTTGAAATGGTTTGCGACTGGAAGGTGTTGTTTTTAACGCATACAGAGCACAGATGCTCTACAGAACAGTCTCTGATTCTCCGCTGGGTCTCACCGATGTAAAGGAGGCCACATCGGGAGCAGGGGATGCAGTAGACCAAGTTGATGGATGTTCAGGTGAACCTCTGTCTGATGTGAAAGATTTTTTTGGTTCCTTGGATGGAGGTGAGGGGGGAGGTGTAGGGGTAGGTGTAGCACTTCCTGCGGTTGCAGGGGAAGGTGCGGGGGGGGGGGGGGCTAGTGGGGAATGTGGAGCGGACGAGGGAGTCGCGGAAAGAGCGGTCCCTTTGGAAGGCAGATGGGGTGGGGAGGGAAATACATTTTGGTTGTGGGGTCAGATAGCAGGTGGCGGAATTGGCGGAGAATGATATGTTGAATCTGGAGGTTAGTGGGTTGATATTGTAAGGACAAGGGGGATTCTGTCTTTAGTTTTTACTCTGGGGAGGGGATGTGAGGCCAGAGGTGCGGGAAAGGCAAGAGATGTGGTTGAGGGCATTTTCAACCACCAAAGGGGGGAAGTTGTTGTCCTTGAAATAAGGGGACATCTGGGATGTTCGGGAGTGGAATGCCCCATCTTGGGAGCAGACGCGGTGGAGGCGGAGGAATTGGGAGTAAGGGACTGCATTCTTGCAGGAAGGTGGGTGAGAGGAGGTGTAGTCTAGGTAGCTGTGGGAGTCAGTGGGCTTGAAATAGATGTCAGTTTCAAGGTGGTCACCAGAGATGGAGACAGAGAGTTCCAGGAAGGGGAGGGAGGTATCAGAGAGGGTCCAGGTGAATCTGAGGTTGGGGTGAAAGGTCTTAGTAAAGTTGATGAACAGTTCAAGCTCCTCGTGGGAGCACGAGGCAGCACTGATACAGTGATCAATGTAGCGGAGGAAGAGGTGGGGGATAGTGCCAGTGTAGGAGCGGAAGAGGGACTGTTCCACGTATCCTACAAAGAGGCAGGCATAGCTTGGGCCCATGCGGGTGCCCATGGCCACGACTTTTGTCTGTAGGACGTGGGAGGAGTTGAAGGAAAAGTTGTTAAGAGTGAGGATGAGTTCGGTTAAGCGGATGAGGGTGTCGGTGGAGGGGGACTGGTTGTGCTTTTAGGCCATCTGCATGGAGGATACAAGTATCTCGGGACTGGATGTCCATAGTGAAGATGAGGTGTTGGGGGCCAGGGAATTGGAAGTCTTGGAGGAGGTGGAGGGCATGGGTAGTGTCCCAAACGTAGGTGGGGAGTTCCTGGACCAGGGGGGAAGAAACAGAGTCAAGGGAAGCGGAGATAAGTTCAGTGGGGCAGGAGCAGGCAGAGACAATGGGTTGGCCGGGACAGTCGGGTTTATGGATTTTGGGAAGGAGATAGAAACGGGCGGTGCGGAGTTGGGGAATGATTATGTTGGAGGCTGTAGGTGGGAGGTCACCTGAGGTGATGAGGTTATGAATGGTTTGAGAGATGATGGTTTGGTGGTCAGGGGTGGGGTCATGATTGAGGGGGTGGTAGGAGGAGGTGTCAGAGAGTTGGGTGGGAAGAATCTGTTTCTGAACCTGCTTGTGCATGTGTTCAGGCTTCTGTATCTTCTGCCTGACAGAAGAGGTTGTAGGAGATTATTACCGGGGTGTGATGGGTCTTTGATAATGTTGGCCGCCTTTCCATGATAGCGAGCCATGTAAATAGAGTCCATGGATGGAAAGTTGGTTTCCGTGATGGTCTGGACTGTGCACACCACCTTCTATAGTTTCTTACAGTCCTGGACAGAGCAGTTGCCGTACCAGGCTGTTGTGCACCGGGACAGTATGCTTTCAATGGTGCATCTGTAGAAGTTGGTGAGGGACGTTATGGACATGGCAAATTTCCTGAGCTGCCTGAGGAAGAAGAGGCGTTGTTGTGCCTTCTTGACTGTCGCATTTATGTAGGGAATTCAGGACAGGTCGTCGGTTATCGTCACTCCGAGGAACATGATGCTCTTCACTCTCTCAACCTCAGTTCTGTTGATGTAGATGGGGGCATGTTCTCTTCCTTTCTTTCTGAAGTTGATCAGTTTTTTAGTTTTGCCAACGGTGAGAGACAGATTGTTTTCATTGTACCACGTCACCAAGCCCTCTATCTCCTGTCTGTATTTTGACTCGTTGTTAGATATCCGTCCCACTGTGGTGGTGTCGTCAGCGACCTTGCAGATGGTGTTTGTTTGGAATTTGGCAACACAGTTGTGAGTGTACAGGGAGTACAGTAGGGGCTGAGGGTGCATCCTTGGGGGGCTCCAGTGTTGAGTGTTATTGTGGAGGAGGTGCAGTTACCTATCCTCACTGATTGTGGTCTGTGGGTCAGGAAGCTGAGGATCCAGTTGCAGAGGGCAGAGCCGAGACCAAGGTCACACAGTTTTGAGATCAGTCTGGAGGGGATAATAGTGGAGCTGTAATTGATGAACAGGAGTCTGGCATAGGTGTTCTTGTCCAGATGTTCCAGGGATGAGTGCAGAGCTAGGGATACTGCATCCTCTGTGGACCTGTTACATCAGTAGGCAAACTGTAGGGGATTGCAATGCAGAGTAATGCCAACAGCATGAGTTCAATTCCCACAATGGCTGAGGTTGTCATGAAGGATTCTCATCCCTCACCTGAGGTGTGATGACCCTCAGGTTAAACCACCTTATAGTCTGGCAGTTCTATGGCAGCTTTACATCTCCCTTATTGAATAGCAGACATGAGGTTAGAAGGATTTACAAAGAGTATCACAATATATAAGACAGATAGGAGACAGATAATTAATAAATTGGAGAAATAAAGATTAAATCATTTAAACCTGGCAAACAGAAATCTGTTGAAATTTGAAGATGACATCAGATAGTGGAAGATGTGACAACATCGATAACAGCAAACTTGCAGTATATTTTTGTAAATACAAAATGAATTTTAACAAAGCTGAGTGTGAGGCGGTCCAATTTAAACGAATGAACAATGTGATTAATGATTGCTTGGAAAATAAAAGTCTAACTAAGGTTGAGGTATAAAGGGATTGTGGGTCATGCAGGTTAATAAATGCAGAACAAGGAAATGCCAAGCACTGGTGTTCATTTCCAGCAGAATAAAATGTAAAGAAGATGATTCCTCTTGCAAGGGAGCCATAATTTGGTGATCATAAATGTAAGGTTTCTTGATAAATCTAAGGAGGCATTCATGAAAAATTTCTTATGATAGAGAGAAATAATTATTTCTGTTGGTTGGAGAGTCTAGGACATGGCCAAGTCTCAGTTTATGCATGCTGTAA